AGCGCGAAAACGCTGAGAAAAAGGCTCTCACAGAGAAGGGGAATCAGCAGGTGGGCGGGTCCTCATCACTGTGAATTCACGCTCCCTGTTTCCGGAGCGAGCGGACGACGCCAGACGAATCCGCAATAGGGTTTAAGTAATCTTATTGCAAGTCAAGCGGAGCAAAGGTATTTGTACATAGAGACGTTACCGGTAAGTAGCTCATAGGTTATTTGTCAGCAACGCTCATTAGCCTAGGTGCACTGTTGTGCATATAGCGAGGCTCTTATCTAGGCCTGAGAGATGCGGTTTCGCAGGTATGAAAATAAAGTTTGGTTGAGGTATCCTTCTCACGTATGGAAAAATATTACCTGTGGTGTTTTACAATGATCTTTTTGAGCATGTTAGTACTTCTCTTAGTACTAGTAATTGCAGCAACAGTACTTGTACAGTACCTTCAAATCTACTCTCTTTGAACGCGATTGGGAGGTTTTTTTCGAACAATGGTCGCTACTTAAGGGCACATGAATGGCTTCCAGATTCGTACAGAATTGGGTTGCATGACTTCCCCTGATTTTGAAGGCAGTGTCCGGGCAAGAACTCGATTTCTAGAGAATGCACTTACCGGGGGTTATCCGCAACGCTGAATCCGAAAATCCACTTTAGAACTCCGACTCCGCGCGAAAACGGCGAAAACATACGTTTTCCAAAGCCGCACATTTTGAAATTCGACGGTCTTCACCAAAGCAGAGACGCGGAGTCGCTGCGGGACCCTACATTTTGACTGCGGCGGCATGCGTACTCTGCCGCATAGCAAGAATTCGGGCAGCTCGGAGGACCCCGCCCCAAGGCGTAAGTTTCCCTACTTTCCGGACGTTTTTCTTGCTTCAGGTCGAGCGTTATGACGTCGCACTTGCGCGATGTTGTGTCTGAGGGGGGCCACGCTCACATGTCACTGAAATCCCAAAACCCCATCTTGCCCGGACACTGCCTTTAAGGATAGAGCATTGTTATTCGACTCTCTTGCTATCAAAAAGGATAACTACGACCGAGACCTGGTGATACAGTACTTGGCCAGGAGGAGATGAGGATATTGGAGTGGTTACAACCACCCTTTTGTACTTATACAAGAGGATCGCCTGTATGTTGACTCATCTGCTGAGATAAGCGCAGGGCATTTTTCCCACGTGCAACAATTTCGTAATGGTAAATGTTACTGTGCATGTTTCCCAATTTTGACACTCGCCAATGGTGTCACGCGCATTTCTTATGCGCAAATGCGTGTTGTGAAACAGCAGGTCATTGCTGTCCGTTAGTCGCATTATTCCTCAGTGTCTCAGTGCTCGTCAGTGCTTTCCCCTATGTGCAAAGATATCTTTCAATTCAATGCCAATCCATAGGATTCCACAAAATATTGGTCTTCACAAGTAATCAATGAAATCTTTATGAGTTATGAGAAGGGTGATGGAAAGCGTGCAAGTGTGAGCATAATGTTAACCTAGCATTTTTTCAAATAGTCTTCGAATTCAAGACTTAGAATGAGGCTTCTTTTGGTTCAAGGATTAGACGAAGCTGTATTCAAGAGGTTGATTTTCATTACAAGTTCGATCAGCTACTTCAATCGAAATTTTGCATGCAGTCTAGAGCCTCGGACAGCCGATTTGAACGCCGCGATTTCCATTCATTTTCATTTTACATTCAAAAATTTTGCGCTGGAAAAGTATCCCAACCAAAATGGAAGCTGGTCGGCATGCAATGAACTCGTGACAGTTGTCTTGTCGCGATTGAATCGCGACGATCAAATCGCGTGAACTCTGCCCGAGGCCTAATGCACTACACTACGAATTAGCAAAAGCCTTCAACAAGCTTCAAATTGGTTCCGAATAACGAAGGGCAGGTGACGTATTGAAATGAATTCGATTTAAGGGAATGAAGTTTTGATAAACTACAACAGCAGAGCCTCATAGGCGCAGAGAGAAATAGCCCATGACTAAATTGACCGCCATAACAGCAAAACATTGTCTGTCTCATCATCCCTACATAAGTATTAGGTTGGCACATAAGTAATGCAACTTTTTATATAACTTTTGTCTATTTGAACGTAGCGCATTCATTTTTTGGCAATATAAGGAACATGATGTAAGCTTCTAATGCACACATTTTTGCCGATTTTTACCATCTTATGTGAGGATTACGGTAGGTTTACGGTACTATGGGAAAAACTTTAAAATGCATCAGATTTTGCTGAAACTTGGCCTATAGGGCTTATTTGACATGCTGATGACAAAAATGAGATCCGTTTCGCATGAAAAGGCTTCGCTCGTGAGATCAAAAGATGAATTTTATTTTAGCTACAAATGAATATGACATTCGTGTTTATCGCATAGGATTATCCTATAGTGCAAAGTTATAGCGAATTCTGACTATTCGCAGCTTAGTTATTGACAAATTGCCTTCAAAACTTGACGCATTTGACTTGTTCAACTTCTCAAAGGCGCCCCACCTTAATTTGGTTTAAATTTCATTTCTTTTTCACTGATTCCAATGTGCCAACTTCCAGCTACATGCTGCCTATAATTGCTTTTTCATATGTTCGAATCAGGTTTCGTAGGGCTTCATGTTTGCCAAAAAATCGTGAAACCTCGATTTTCAGCAGTTTTCAAAAAATGCTTAGATTTTTTGTACTACTTTATGAAGAATCAAACGGTTTGCGCAGACTTGCAGCTTACATCACGATCTACATGATGCCACAAGATAAGATTGCTACATAATATAAGAAAAAAGTTACGGGAAAAGTTGCAAAACTTATGTGCCAACCTAATAATTAAATAATGCGCGAACATTTAGCAAGCTTAAGTGGACTACTCGCACCTTACTATACAAAAACGCTTTTATGACGAAGAAAGCTATCAAATACAACGAGATAAGCTAATATTGCAAATTTCTGTCCAAAAATGACAACGTATGTCATCGTGAAGAGTCAAAGAATAGTGGGAAAAGTTCATTGAAACAGTATGAGATATGCTGTGATTCGGATTCGAATTTTTCCGGAAATTTTGAGAAGTGAGGTCCGGAGAGAACGTACACTTTTTGGTGTAGCATGTACAAAGAAGCCTGCCTTCAGTAAGAATTTGGTATATCGAATGATATGAAATTCTCCAAGGGCGTTGCCTATACATGAAATATATACATACAAGAAATATATACATGATGATTATCGAAACGTACCATTTTGCTACTATACGAGATTTATATATGCACAATCCTATACAGCATTTCACAGGAACCAGCAACTCATGCAGCTGGTATTTTATCTCAGTTGCGGCTGGTGGACGGAGCCTCATTGCTTGATAGAATAGGATCATCTGCGATCTCACTTTATGCTCTTACATCTTAATTCGAAATATGGAAAGAGGAGGAAGTGACAAGTTATGGAAAGTTTAGAAATCGCAAGACCTTTGGAGTTGCTTCGTAACAATTTCGCAGCTAATGCAAAATGTAGAACAAAGCAGATACGAGCAAATTGCTGATGTTTATGACTAGTCAAAAAGTGTAAAATTTCAAACTTGTCCTCTTGACTACCGTTTAAGTTGCGTAAAAATGCACATTCACTTCAAATCGAGACAGTCGCTGTCAGTTTAACAAACAAGGAAGATAGGATAATACCGATTCAGGTTTGTTCTTCAGAGATACATTTGGCGCAGGTTGACGTGTTGTTTCCGCCGAATCGCTGCCAATCTTCTTACATTTTCTGTTCCGTCAAACACACCTAAGATGATTTTTGCGCATTCTTATGACGAGCCGTGAGTCGACTTTGACTCACCCTTGACAATGTAGTTTGACAATATATTTTTCTATTATTGGTTGTATTAGGTCTACTTTGGGGGTACATAGCAAGAGTTGGGCATTCGCTTTTGCCTGATTTTTTTATGCAGCATGAATAGGCCTGGCCATGTTTGAGCCAAGATTTCTCATCAGGATTTTCGATAATCTAATATTGATAAGCTTTTTTGCAGCACAAAATTCGCAGTCGTTGCCTGTATCTTGAGAAAATCCGACCATTTTCTTTAGATTTAGAGGGAGGACGCGCAGGAGGAAGCAAAGGCCTAGCCGGCAGTGTCCGCAGGAGATAATTAGAGGCGCAAGCACTGCGCCGGAGATCTGGCCAGGAACCAAGAAAACTTGGCAGGAATGCAATCATTTAATTTATCAATTCAAGGTTTCACCTTGGACTGCTGACTTCAAGTTTACCTTCCCCTCCATTTTCTAACTTGAATCGTGAAAATTCTTTATGGAGAGTTTCTTTTTCGAATGACAGTAATTTCTTTAAGAGAAGCCATGAAAAGTGGATTTTAAAACTTCTACTCGTATATCTCGTGCTTTTTCCCAAGCAGAGTCATGAAATACGTTTTCACATGGTCTTCTTCAAGTTTCTTTGCCAAGTTGTTTTGGATCCTTGCCATATCTTCCCCACAGTGCTTGCGCTCTTAACTGTCTCCTGTGGATATGGCGGCAGGGCCTTTGGTTCCTCCTGTTACGCCGCCGATTTAGAGCAAGGAAAGTAAAAGGATATCCATGTTTTAGTCACTTGTTTCTGAAGGCATGGAACTCCGGTTTAAACAAAGATTTGCGAACATGAAAGCACAAATCAAAAACTAGAAGAATCCGGCTTTTAGGCTTCATAGAGAGTTATAAAGAAAAATTGTTTTTTCTTAGGAATAAGCTCTTTCAAAAAAAAAGAAAATCGCTTAATCATGAGACAACCCAATAGTAACAAGGAATGTCTTTTCAAATGTGATTTCAAGAGGAAAATGACTATTATGAGGCGCTTTGATGACCGGAGCAATCCAGTTTTCATGCCTTGGGCCAGCTAAATTTTTAGTCTTGAGACGAGAAATAAGTTGCGTGAAAGATGCATTCACTTCAAATCATTGCAATTAGTTTATCTTTCAATATTCATGCGAATTTCTCTCGAGCAAATACTTTCAATTTGAAATAATAAAGAGATGAAGCAATAATAGTCAAGGCTTGTTCTGCTCAGGCACATTTGATACTGGTTGGCATCGAGCTTCCGTTAAATTGCTGCCAACCTTGTTGCATTCTGTGATCGTAAATGTCGCATTTACATCATTGAAATTACCTATAATAATCCTATGCTTTACCTGATAATGGAATTGTGAGTTGCTTTACCTTCGACGTAATAATTTCCTTTTACATCGTCTCCACATTTCTTCTTCTCCAAGACGTCTATTAGCTTTGTAACACTTCCAGCGACAACCTGATTCGCTTCATTCTGAATATAGGCGGTGTTATTTGATCTACCTTGACTGCCAAAGTAACTCACTCCGAGCATTGTTCTGTAGAGCACAACGTCGTAAGTATCGTTTGCCGGAAAGTGAATGCCTAAAAAATTTGAGATGATGTTTGTGAACGACAAACAAAAAGCTCAGTAATTAAAAGCCATTACACATTCAAGAGGCCATAGATTCCCAGATTGGTCTAGAGTACTGTTCCACCAAAGGAAACATAATGAGTCGTAATAGGCGGATAATGTTAGAGGCATTGGTGGAGGAGTTACATTTTGAACTTTTACGTCAAGATTCACATAGTTCTTCTACCAACGCGCTCACCGGAAATTTGAAAATTCGAGCGAACAATTCTGTGACCAAGGCAGGCGATATACTCCTCGAGGAGTATAGCATGGCGACGATCGATATGCATCAAATACGTGTAAAACCGGCGATTTTTGTCGCCGATATTGGCGATCGCCAGTCGTAGCGACTGGTGATCGCCAGTCGCCAGTGTTGGCGACTGCACGTTTGATACGTATCGATTAGTGACCGGCGATCGTCCGTCGTAGCGACTGGCGATCGCCAATATTGGCGACTACACGTTTCATATGTATCGATTTGACGTGTGGTAACTTGTTTGGCGATTGGCGATCGCCAGTCGCTATACTCCTCGAGGAGTATAGCGCCTGCCTGAAGCATAATTTTTGTGTGTTTATTTCTACTTCCAGTGACTAAAACCGGTGATTTCAAGCATAAACTTACTATAGCATGTCTTGGAATATTTCTTTTCGCCGCCTTCTTTCAAAGCTGGTTGCTGCGTATTTCTTTTCACTCTGCGACAATTGCATATTGTGAAGATTGTTGCACACAAAAACAGGAATAGTAGAGTATTCATTCTGAAAATGAAGTTATGAAGCACATTTCCAGTGTCGTTCGGTTGGTGCAAGAGAACGACGATTACAGCGGGATTAGCTCTCAACATAAAATTTGCACCATTAGATACTGGTTCGTTGTAAAGCTGCAATGATTTTTTTGAAAGAGTGCAAATGAGGCTACGTCTTGTTTATTGGAGGTTATATAGGCGACAAATCTTTTATCCTAAATCAAAAAGTTTTCAAAGAATGCTCGTATCACAATGATTTGAAAAGTTTACTCGCAGGCTTCGATTGCTATAGCCTTACAGCCTTGCAGTAGAATTGACAGTTGCAAAATTCACATTTCTGCACGATAAAATCTTGAATAATGAAATACAGAATGTACAGAACATGGAAGATGACATTTCTCAGAAGCTTCATCAAGAGATATTGAGTTTCGAATATAACAACGATAACTATATCTTGAAATATTTTGTCGACTTGCTTTGATTCTTTTCGCTTTGCTTCGAATTGCGAATATCGATAACTAGCTGGCTTACCCGGCTCCGCCGTATCCGGACCAAACTTGGCACACATACACTTCGGGCCCCGGCGCGTGTCATAGTCCACTTTTCGTTATCGATCGATGTCGATTTTACCGATTTTTATCGATTTTTTCGCAGAGTTCACCTACAGGGCTAGGAGTTGGCACAGGGGGGAAGTGAGCATGGGGATTCCGAATACAATATTAGTTTTCAGAATTATCGGTTACTTTTATTGATTTTATCGATTTTTTGTAAATTTTGACATGCGATGCTGGGATTTTGCACAGAAGGGTAATCGAGCATGCCGATTACGAACACAATATTAGTTTTCAGGATCGTCCATTACTTTTATCGATTTTATCGATTTTTTCGTAAAGTTTGACCTGCGGGGCTGGGAGTTTGCACAGGGGGGTAATCGAGCATGCAGATTACGAATACAATATTAGTTTTTGGAATTATCCATTACTTCTATCGATTTTATCGATTTTGCAAAATTTGAGCTAGGGGGCTGGAATTTGGCACAGGGGTGTAATCGAGCATGCTGATCACCCCCTTGGGGATGATCAGCATGCTCGATTACCCCCCTGTGCCAACTCCCAGCCCCCTAGCTCAAACTTTGCAAAAAATCGATAAAATCGATAAAAGTAATCGATAATCCCGAAAACCAATATTGTATTCGGAATCCCCATGCTCGATTACCCCCCTGTGCGAACTCCCAGCCCCGTAGCTCAAACTTTGCAAAAAAATCGATAAAATCGATAAAAGTAATCGATAATCCTGAAAACCAATATTGTATTCGGAATCCCCATGCTCGATTACCCCCCTGTGCCAACTCCCAGCCCCGTAGCTCAAACTTTGCAAAAAAATCGATAAAATCGATAAAAGTAATCGATAACCCTGAAAACCAATATTGTATTCGGAATCCCCATGCTCGATTACCCCCCTGTGCCAACTCCCAGCCCCGTAGGTGCACTCAGCAAAAAAATCGATAAAAATCGATAAAATCGATATCGATCGATGACGAAAAGTAGCCTATGACACCCGCCGGGGCCCGAAGTGTATGTGTGCCAAGTTTGGTCCCGATCGGTTCAGAAATGGAATTTTCTATTCGGAACATACGTACACACATACATACAGACAGACATACAGACAGACATACAGACAGACAGACAAACAGACATTCAGCTTTATATATAAGATAGCCAGTTTTACCGGAAATTTTTGCTTAGCACATTTTTTCAAAAAGTGAATGGATCTTGTCGGAGCTTTTACTGTCTCCTATTTCGTTTTGATACGATTTTATATGAAGTTTCAATAAAAACTGGGAAGCGATGAGCGGCAATAATACGAAGTGAAGCTGCAACCACGGGGACATTTAAACCTTTCTCACGAACACTTGAGTCAGTGGTTTATTCAGCAGTAAACCACAACAAAAAGCGGATTGCTGGGCAAATTGTGCAAAATTCTGTGCAACATGCGTGCAGCGATAAAAAAACTAAATCGCAAATCGCTGAATTCTCCCCTATTCTCTCTGCTGCCCAGCCCATCAATTAGAAAAAAGGTTGGGCTCTGCTTTTATGCTAGAATAAAAAAATTATATGTAGAAGCTAACAATTGGTTAGGTAAACCATTAGACGCGATAGTTTCTGTTCACATATTTACCGGTAGCTGCGACAGATTTATCTTCAAAAATCAGTCAGAGCACCTTGAGTTACCCTAGTTCTTGCTGTTTGTCTTTCTTCCTATTTCTCTTTCTTGCATGCCTACTTACTCAACCACCACAGACAGAAAACAGTAGCAATAAGAACATCTTATATATAAAGCTGAATGTCTGTTTGTCTGTCTGTCTGTATGTCTGTCTGTCTGTCTGTATGTCTGTCTGTCTGTACGTATGTTCCGAATAGAAAATTCCATTTCTGAACCGATCCGGACCAAGCTTGGCACACATACACTACGGGCCCCGGCGGGTGTCATAGGCTACTTTTCGTCATCGATCGATATCGATTTTATCGATTTTTATCGATTTTTTTGCTGAGTTCACCTACGGGGCTGGGAGTTGGCACAGGGGGGTAATCGAGCATGGGGATTCCGAATACAATATTGGTTTTCAGGATTATCGATTACTTTTATCGATTTTATCGATTTTTTTGCAAAGTTTGAGCTACGGGGCTGGGAGTTCGCACAGGGGGGTAATCGAGCATGGGGATTCCGAATACAATATTGGTTTTCAGGATTATCGATTACTTTTATCGATTTTATCGATTTTTTTGCAAAGTTTGAGCTACGGGGCTGGGAGTTGGCACAGGGGGTAATCGAGCATGGAGATTCCGAATACAATATTGGTTTTCAGGATTATCGATTACTTTTATCGATTTTATCGATTTTTTTGCAAAGTTTGAGCTACGGGGCTGGGAGTTCGCACAGGGGGGTAATCGAGCATGGGGATTCCGAATACAATATTGGTTTTCGGGATTATCGATTACTTTTATCAATTTTATCGATTTTTTGCAAAGTTTGAGCTAGGAGGCTGGGAGTTGGCACAGGGGGGTAATCGAGCATGCTGATCACTCCCAAGGGGGGTGATCAGCATGCTCGATTACACCCCTGTGCAAAATTCCAGCCCCCTAGCTCAAATTTTCAAAAAATCGATAAAATCGATAAAAGTAATGGACGATCCTGAAAACTAATATTGTATTCGTAATCAGCATGCTCGATTACCCCCCTGTGCAAAATCCCAGCCTCGCATGTCAAAATTTACAAAAAATCGATAAAATCAATAAAAGTAAACGATAATTCTGAAAACTAATATTGTATTCGGAATCTCCATGCTCACTTCCCCCTGTGCCAACTCCTAGCCCTGTAGGTGAACTCTGCAAAAAATCGATAAAAATCGGTAAAATCGACATCGATCGATAACGAAAAGTGGACTGTGACACCCGCCGGAGCCCGAAGTGTATGTGTGCCAAGTTTGGTCCGGATACGGCGGAGCCGGGTAAGCCAGCTAGTTTTATATAATATAGACAGGAAAACACCACAATTATATACATTTTTACATCAGGTTCTGAATTCTCAAGGTCTCAATAGTTGCGAAGGTATTTTCATAGACAAGGAACAGAACAGCATTTACTATAAATCCTCGAAGCGCTAGTGCTAGGCCTCCACGATAAAACGCACGAGTGCCTTCGTTCTGCCATATTCGCTGAGCCACTTTAATTGAAGTCCTAAAAATAGCTTTTTTCGCAAATTTAAATTTCACAGATCTGATTTTCTTTGAACGATTAGTCGCTAGAACTTTACGATTGACGGGGGAGGGGAGGAACGGCAGGGTTCTATCAATCAGTTTGGCTTCAACTACAGTTGAAAATTTTTGAGACTTTTCCTTTGATCCAAGATTAAGGTAGAGCTGACTATGCTCCACTCCACACTTCCATACATATTTGTTTCGAAATTCCAACTAAATCGATTATCGATTAGGGCAGATTTCGATGGCTTATATTGACCATCCGGTGAAACTATCTATGCTGCACATTTTCCACGATCACGTTGTTTTAAATTTCGCAACCCAATCAAAGCAGATTTTGCGACTCATACTAAACATTCTTCTTCTCTAGACAACTGAAAAAACTTCACATTCAAAATCTCCGCCCTCCCAGTCCCCCGCCTCCTCCCTCAAAACAACAACTTTTCGCCACAGGTTATACAGGAGAAACCAAAGGCATGCGGTGCAGGAGGAGCCAAAGGCATGCCGCCTGTAGCCGTAGGAGATCATAAGGAGCGCGAGCGCTGTGGAGAAGATTTTGGCAAGGATCCAGGAAAACTTGGAGAGAAAATACATCCGAAACGAACATAACTCTTCTTGGAATCAGTTTTCAAGGATACAAAGGAGAGGTTGGGATCAGTATTGAAATGCGCATTTTTCAGTAATAGCCTGAATAGATAAACTACTCTGTCTCACTACTCGAGCTCTATTTTTATCAAAAAACTAGCTGGCAAACCCGGCTCCGCCCGGCCCTGTCATTATTATATTCGTAATCAGCATGCTCGATTACCCCCCTGTGCCAACTCCCAGCCCCGTAGCTCAAATTTTGCAAAAAATCGATAAAATCGATATCGATCGATAACGAAAAGTAGCCTATGACAGCTCCCTGCCCCGAAGTATATGTGTGCCAAGTTGGTCCAAATCGGTCCAGAAATAAAAATTTCTATTCCGCACATACCTACATACAGACATACACACACACATTCAACTTTATATATAAGATGAGCCTTCAAGATTCACCACCAAAAGCTGAAGATTCAAGTTCAATGTGTGCTATGTGAAAGATTTTAAGTAAATTTTTTTTGTGAAATTGGATTGGAAATTGAACGTAGGGAGTGGTAATCACGAAATGATGTTAACTTAGTTGCATGTCATAAACTTTTTCTATTGTGTACAACCTAAAGGGGATTCATGGTTTCAAAGGCAAATCCTTTGAAATCTCTAATGTCAAAATTTAAAATTGAAATATGTTTTAAGTTATGAGACAAACTGTATATTGCATCTTGGCTCAAGACTCCAGATGTGTTCTTATGACATTTTGTTTGCTTTGATTCATTGACCCAACAGCAAAATATTCCTTTATCTCAAAAAAATTAATTTTGAATGAAAATCCTGGTCTTCAACAATTTGAAACTTCAAAACTCATATAAAACAAAAACTTTTTTTTTATAGAAAGTTGACTTTTCTTACCACTACAATTCCAAATTTTCACTTACTTTTAGGCCTAGTAAATGCGCCTTCCAAAGTGCATTCAAAATCTGTCTTTCAAATTTCTTAAGGTCATCTCCAGGCAAAGTTATGAAGGTTTGTTCCTAAGGGATATCTTTGCCAAGTTTTCTTGGATTCTTGCCAAAATATCCTCCACAGCCCTCGCGCTCTTAATTATCTCCTGCGGATACAGGCGGCAGCCCTTTGGTTCCTCCTGCACCACCCCCAAATATAACGGAACTCACATTCTTCTGCCAGTATTGTCGGCTTGAATTCTATTCTTGACGACTTCAATTGGACAAATTGATAGCCAAGACATGACACCCGCACAGCCGCCAGCAAATAGCTGCAAATAAATCGGAGTGGTTTATTTGTAAAACGAATGCATATTGCCAAATCGTTATGAGCTTAAAGGCAGCGTCCGGGCAGATACGAAAATCTAGAGTACAGGACGCCCGTCTTGGTAAGGCTCCTGCCCAAGTGGCAATGCACCAATTTGCTTCTGAAGCGAGAAATCTGCTTCAGAAGTGGCGACCGGAACGTCCCGGCGACCGGGACGAGTTAGTTTGATAGGCCAAAGTGCGCATACTGCACACAGTCAAAACGTAGGGTCCCACAAGACTCTGTGTCTTAGCCTTGGCGGCAGGTGACAAAATTCAAATCAAGAGCTTCTGGAAAAGCCCGTTTTCGGCGTTTTCGTGCCCTCCAAGCTGCATCTTTAGAATCAGTGGGAGGAATAAGCGCAGGTAAGCGAATAAAATTCCATTCAAAATTTTGCCCTGACGCTGCCTTCAAAACTCTCAGAGCAGTGTCCAAATGTATTTGGCTACGTATACTTCTTACGTGAAAGCTGATTGCGAGGGTTGAACCAATGCTCAAGCGGCAATCAGAGGATTCATGAATAGCCGTGGAGTTTCAATTCTACAGCTTGTAGACGAATGCGAGCGGAGTGTAGGTCCGGGCACTAATCAGCGTCCTCAGCGTAGATGGTACGGTGTGGGTTAGAGTTTAGAGCTGAATTGCTCGTCTGTTGATAAATTTTGAGAGCTGCCGCTTGAGCAAATTGATCAAGGACTCTCAATCAGTTTCCATCTAAAAATTACAGGTACCGAACTTGGCCAGGCTCCTACCTGTGCAGCAGTTTCATTAGCGTTTTTTAGTCGCAAATATCGTAGCAATAGCTCATAGACAGGAATATAGAAGAGATATCCGATGATGTCACGTACAAGAATCACATTACCACCCTGGAAACAAATCTTTGGGAAATTTTTGAATGATAAGATTTGATGAATTTTCAGTGACCTTAAACAATCCTCTGATTCCTTCTCTTTCGTATATCCGTTTCGCGCATTCTACCGGGCCGGAATATAGCTTTGCTGAGTGTACAGAATGATGGGAAACATTTTCACGCTGGACCTAAACGGTGTTGTGATGAGTGAATTCAGGTGAGAAAAGCTGCGATTATGCTTAATACCTGCAAGCGGGTCTTCAACAATTCAATAGGTATGACAGGGAGAACTTGAGCCACGGTGCCGCAGGTGGAAGCAAACATTATCTGAAAAAGAGTGTTAAGAAATATAGCAGTTATACCTTAGAAAAACGTAACGCTGGAAGTGTCGGGTTTTTTTCCGCAAACGTGCTTGTCCCACCTCTCCGGCACCACGCCCGTTACCTAATTAACAGCGCAAAGCGCGAAGCAAGGGAATTACCTATTCAGAACCACGACAAGTCAAAGTTGTGAGCGATATGCTGTGTTTTTTTTCTCGAGAAGGAACCAGACGCTTTACATTTACCCAGCCTTGAAGCCCCCCACCCCCCCCCCCCTCTCCCATTCGCATAACTTCGTCGAAGTTTGAAGTTGAAATTGAAATATTAACTAATATTTCCGACCCCAAAAATTGGCACGAACCTCCTCGTAAAATTTATCCATGCTTTCTCACCTCTCTCATAGGCAAATCCTTTCTGGCTTCAACATTTGACTCGCCAGGATGCAGTAATCGCAAAGCTGCTCCATAACCAGTAAAAAGTAGAGAGTGAAAGGCTCCTGTTGATAGGAAAGGCAGCCACATCCCTTTATAGAGACCGTAGATCTTGAAGTAGCAACATTTCATATTACATCATGAGACTATGAACTAACAATTGTAATACACTATTTTTTAATGATGCTTTGTTAGAAAAACACTGCCAACTTACACTCTCTTGTTTAGCTGTTTTAAGCATGCAGTCGACTATTCCTTTGTAAGTATTCATGGTCTGCAGGCGAGCCTTTACCGTATCCAGTGGATGACCAACGATAAGGCCTGCTCCACCTATGCATAAGTGATTATATCAGAGTAGTCCTTATCATAGTTTAGAAAATCTAGATCGTCAGTGCAGGATCCAAGAAGTACGCTAGGCATGAAAGAAGTTTAGTCAATAAGTTTTATTTATCATGTGAAGGAAACATTACCAGCAGCCCATCCGGCAATGAAATCCGCGTACATGGTCCGTCTCCCAAACGCATAAAATCTACCTATAACAAAAAAAATATCTATAACAAAAAAAGTAGTGCGAGAAAGGAATGAGAGCAAGAGAAACGTCTGGAAACAGATTTTTTGCGTTTCATCAAAGTGAAAGGTATTCACACATCATTATAAGGAGCAGCAATCGCAAATTATAGCTTTTCGAAATTTTCTTTTAAAAGTTTTTAACGGATTTTTTCAAACTGATAGAACAGCTAGAGGATACAAAAAGAATGATGTTACGAACCTAAACTGCATCACCATTGTTATACAAATAACGTATCAGTGTTATGTCACTAATCAATGATAATACCAATCTAGGGCAAGCACAAGACTAGGTCAATGTTTCCTTGAGGAAGTACAACTCTAGGTGTGACTTCTAGGATCAGTCACTGACAACTGAAAGTTGTTAACGAAGAAGGATGCACTCAAAGTATGGGGTTTATCATTTCATCACCGATACTCAGAAAGCGAAACTGTGAACTGTTAATACTTTCAACTACTTCCACTTCTAGGGATGTTTGCTTAATAACAGACTTCGAATTGAACAGCAAAATTTTGATATTACATACTGAATCGGATAGTGAAATTCTGGCACCAAACATTTTACGACGTTCAAGGGGGATCCACTGCAGCGACATTATTGCATAATGCGCTCCTAAAAAGACTTCTTTGGAAACCTCACTATTGCAATGTTCAGACTTGCGAGGTTCTTACTCTTTACACTTTCGGTTCGCATGATATTTAGCTCACCTTACCTAAGTATGTATGACGTCAGAATTCGGTAATATCTACAAAAGATTCAATCTGTACTTAGCGAGTTATTGTTTGTGGAAGTGATACATGTTTCAGAAAGTTTATAATTTTGTTAAGTTAATTATAATATAGTTAATAGTTAGTTATATAGTTAATTATTGCACAGTTTATAATTTTGTTTCTCTTCGATATAGAGTAGTCAGAGGAAGCATTTGAGCCGTGATGAATCAAAAGCACCCTTGAAAAAAGACAACGTCAGTGACTGTGCACTTCTTCATAAGAATACAGTTAATATTATTATTATTATTATTATTATTATTATTATTATTATTATTATTATTATTATTATTATTATTATTATTATTATTATTATTATTATTATTATTATTATTATTATTATTATTATTATTATTGGCAATACAGTTAATATACTTTGAATCAAGTGTATCCTATGGAATAGCTAAACCGGGGGTGAGTACGTTGTTGATACAGAAATTATCTCTATATATATAAAACTCAAAGTGTGTTTGTCTGTTAATAAGTATGTTTTTTATGCAAATCTTTCTGAGTGGACTAAATGAGCTGAAACTTTGCACACTTATGTTTTGGACCCCGGCGCAGAACATAGGCTACTTTTCGCGGCGATTTACTAGATCCTTCTATTGATTTGTTGATTTGTTTACTTACATCTGGGAAAATGAGGCTTGACATGCTCAAACCAATCATTTCGCCATGATCATGTAGTCAAAGGATGGTAAAGCTCATTTTAATCTCAATGTCGGAAAGATGCGGGCATTTCGTTTCAAAGCCCTTTTTGCGTAGAAGAAGCTCAAAAGCGTAAGTATGGGTAACTTCTTCTTAGCTAAACTGGAGACCCGAGTGAAACCGGGACCGCCGGCTAGTTTCAAAATAATCTCGGAGTGTGTCCAAAGATCAAATCTGGAGATACCTAAATTAGTGCAAATTGAAGGGCCTGGTTCCTTACTTAATTGATGCCTATGCAAGAAATTCAGGTTAGTGATAGTTTAGAGATGTTGCAGGGCTTTTTGAATGATATACAGCTTAAAAATAATTTGAATTTTTTAATTTTTTATACAATTTTTTATGGTTTTGATTTTCGCCACAATCCTTTGCAACCGTTCATTCGTCTTCAGCCCTTTCCGTGCAATGTACTTTGTGCATGGTCTGCTATTCGAGACTCATTCAAAAGAGCAATACGAAAATTTCGAGTGAAGCAACAAAAACGATCTCTTTGCAATTTTGGGAAAACGACGTATTTCTCTGAAGTCACAAGCTATTGTAAGGCTGACCTGTGAGATTTAGGATGGTTTGTAATTGTCGTGTTGAACATGTTCTACCTAAATTTGCAAGATGACACGTAGGCAGCCCTTGGAGCAATTTGCTTCATCCACTTCAGTTTCATACCTGCTTTCATTTAGACAGGTTCGTCCTTGATTATCTACTGCTCACGGATTCTTTTAGAGAACCGATATGCTTCATATGTTACAGTACTCGTATGGCATTCACTGGCATGGATTTACTCGGTCATTACCTTTCATATCAAATGTCGCCAGTGTCTAGCCCACTTATCAGCGTTGATCAAGTTCGAGAGTTGATGCTCCGTTTAAAACTTCTGAATCTGAACATGTCTGCACAGATCGTTGATACAAATTTGCAGGTATTTCGTTTTTTTTAAGTTTGTTTTTGTTTCCATTGCGAGTTGCCGTTTTTCTTGAAAAAAAATTTAGGTACAGAACAACGTACCAGCGCTTCTCCCTAGTCCAATCACCCAGCAAATTGACAGTTTTGGAGGTTCGTGCCCACAATCGCATAACTAACCCAAACTTCGTATTCGAAGGATTCAAAATCCCTTTTTCAGTTGAGAACAGTCAGCTGCCACAGGGTGAAGGTTACATAAGCGAGGATCATGACAGCATTTCACGCAAAGTTTTTGTTGGAGGTTTGCCTCAGGACATTAGCAAAAGTACGTTCTCTCATCGCAATTTTCTAAGCTGCGTTTAAAGTTGCGCGTGCCAGCGTCGTTCCAGCACAATGCTAACGCCTCTAATCAATATGCATCCTCATGCGGTTTCGACACAGTGCTAGAACGGCGGCGGCACGGCGCCAACACGGCAAATTTTGCTTACGCTAAAAATCATGATTTATTCTTCCAAAGTAACTACAAATCAGGGAATAATTACATACCATTATTTGTCCAGTCGTGTCAGAACTTATGGTATGCGACTGACTTACAGGCTCTCTGCTAAGAAAGTTCAGTGCTTATGGCCGTGTACGCCTGGATTTTCCTTCGGAACCCACGCATCCTCCAAGAACTAGAAAAAGTAGGCCCTTTGATAATAAATTTTTAAAGTAGTAAACTACCTCAAGAAACTGATAAGCTGAGCGAGTCCTATTATAAGCGGAAGCGAAACGCGCAGTCTTCAAAAAGAAATTACGCAGTATACTTTAGGAATACGTAAAAAAATCAACTTGTAGAATGTTTTTTCAAATCTAATTCTAGAAAGCTTTTTACGCCCGCCACGCCAAGCATATTAAAGCTTCTTCACTCCTTACAACAAAATTCTAGAGAATGTGCAAGAGTTGTAAAATGGCTTGCAAGCGAAACAACTTAATTTTTTATGAAAACTTCAAAGAAAGTTATAGCTACTTTTTTTTCAAAAGTTCTGCTTGATGTGGAAAAAATGTTCACTGTCAGCGAAGAATACCGATTCCAACGAGAGAAAATTCCAGCAGAATTCTACACTCAATCGTTGTTCCCAATTAACCAAAACCAGCAAATTCTTTCTAAATATTACAAAATAAGGAGCGTTTGATATCATGGATTAGAGATTTTTCGACTTGCAACATCGTTGATGACCACAAGATCAGCTATTATCCATTTCTAGTCGATCGGAAGCTGAGCACTTCCGGCTATGTTTTTCTTATCTACGACACCGAAGCTGCCGTTTTCAATTTGTTGAGAGATTGTACGTTCTTTGAGGGAAACTATTTTCTGCCATTCCGCGAAGATTCGCTTTGCTTGAAATATGTAAGCCTTTTTTTGTGATTGCCTTGAGGAAAAATCACCAGTTGCTTTTGAAGGCTCAAGTTCGTCCATGGCAGCTTACGTCAATTGCGTATATTCCTGACATGAATGCTGTCATCGATCCTCGCCTTACTGTATTCATTGGCGGTGTTCCTCGTCCTCTGACGTCTGGTTAGCTAATGAGAAAATCTACGTATTGGCTGAATGTATATATTTTTTTATCCACAGGTGAGCTGGCCATGCTTCTGGAGCGAAACTATGGACCACTGCTTTATTGCGAAATCGACGTGGATCCAGAGTTGTTCTATCCTAAAGTAAACCATTCACTTTTTGATAGTAAATTCAATCTGAATTTCTCTGTCTAGGGAGCAGCAAGAGCAGTATTTGCCTCCTATAGCAGCTATGTGAGAGCTATTCAAAATAGATTCCTGCACATACCTAATGTAGAGTTCAACAAAAGGGTATGTAACTCCCACCTATGGCAGTTTCACTCCGAAGTTTACCGCTCTTTTAGACCGTCGAAATCAAGCCATATATGATGGACGACATTTTGTGCGACGAGTGTTTGAAGGAAACATCAGTGCACTTTTGTAAATCGTGCATGCAATATTACTGCGAGGCTTGCTCAACAAAGATGGATCACTACGTCAATTTGCACATTGAAGAGACAACTCAGTCTCCCAAGGTAAGGCCATGAAGTTCTCAGAAAGAGACACCTGGAAAACTCGTCCAAAATGTTTAGCCTTAGAACTCGAATTTTCCGACCATCTACAGTAACGGAATTCTTTTGAAAGGACGCTGGTTTGAAGTAATGAAAGCAAACACGGAATCACTGAATATAAAATTGCTGAGCTTTTCCAAAACATTGCAACGAAAAAAGTGCAAGTTCTTGAAAATCAGAAAAATGATTTGATTGCTTTGCGCTTATGCTCTTTCTATAACTCAATGAAGTTCGAGAATGAATTTCCATCACTGAAACAGTATGGCGATATTTTTTAAAGTTTCCATGGCTGTCCTCAGACAAATAGTACAAGAAGTCTTTTTGATTACTTTGTTTTTTTTTACTGCGGGAAACCTGTGTCCAGGTTTTGTTCAGGGAGTATAATCTTAACAGTTATGGCACTTTTATCAGAAAATTATTCGAATTGCTGTCTCGCAGTATATAACGAATACTTTCAGAGTTCTCTCGATGGCGACTTCACCCTAACAAATAATCTCTTCGGGCAGATGGCTGAGTGCTCTCGTTCCGACATCTTCCCAACACCTTAGGAAAGTGTATCATAAACTTTCAAGCATCAGGTTATTCTAATACGTAGAAGCCTCCTATCATATTGTGATAAACCCAACAAACAGCATAATTATTCCTCGTATCAGTCATTAGTAGAATTCTTCGTATTCAGATCAGTCGCATTATTAGATTACAAGTTTTTCGGCACATATATGCAGCGGAATTTATTCGTATAGTTATTTTATAAGGTACATCTAGACATGGAATTATAGTCGAGTTTATAATTTCATTACTCTCCGCATATTCAAAAAATTTGATCTTCACACCATTTATAGACGAGAGATTTGTAAGGCCATATTTTTGTACAGATGATGTGTGTTCTTGTAAGTTTGTTCCTGTAAATTTTTTGTTAGTTTGATTCTTTATCAATGTCTTTTATCAACCAGTCTGCATATTAGTCCCAGAATTTATTAGTGATAGTTTCTAGCAACGCGACGTTGCATTTTGAATTTTTGAGTTAAAACAGAATTTGTTGTAGCTCCCATTTTTTCCTAATTTTTAGAGTTTGTATGCTATATAAATTTTTGTATGCGGAGAACTGATATACGATAAAAGAAAAAAGACAGCCAGAAAGTAAAGAAGAGGGCAAAAATTTCTAATAAGGAAAGCTATCCAACTTAGCTTGGCCTTTTGCTAAAAGGCATATATATTCTGAATCAGCTTCAAACGGTGAATCCAAATATGCCATTCCTAGCTGCAACGCACCATTCCGAAGCGAGTTATGGGCCTTTTTCTACACAAAATTGGCATACTACTAAACATGGGAAGACTGCCCGCAGATAAAAATCTGCAAGAAAAAGGTGCTGAGGCATCGAAATAGTGCAAATCCAATCTTTTCTCACTAGAAAAAGCTTAACGCAGGTGTATCAGCACTTAAATGATGATGACGTATGCCCGTGAGTCGATTGCCAATTTTGGCCATGCCAATTTTTGCGCAGGAAAAAGCTCATAACTCGCTTCGGAATGATGCGTGGCAGCTAGGAATAGCATATTTGGAATGAGCGTTTGAAGCTGATTCAGACTATATAAGTCTCTTGCCAAAAGGCCAAGCTAAATTAGTTAGCTTCCCTTGTAAGATTAATGTTAGTACTACTGTGTTTCTTTCGCAAGCTTTTTCTAAAATTTATATTTCTAAGAAGCCCAATCAAAGAAGCCTTCCTCATTTGTCCAAACTTCTTCAAAAAGCCAGAAATCATTTAGAAAAAACGCATCCTTTTCCGTTAGACCCCTCCAACCCATGAGCCAAAAAAGTGCATTTACCCGCATATTTTCTTTTATCTATGTAACTGTGTCGGACGGAAATTCCACAGCGAAAGGGCAAGTTGATAACTGGAGGTCGCTAGAGCAATAAATCTCGTCGCGTGTATGAATATGTCATGAAAGAAGAAAATAAAGGCAATGTTCACAAGTACTTATTATTGAAGACATCTAACGAGCAAAAGACTGAACACAAGAAAGAAACCAAGAAAAGGAGAAAAGAAATCTAGAATTGGATAATTGAAGAATTCTTTATTTTTATTTTGGTTTAAGCATCACAATTAATAAATTACATGTTTTCCCTTCAAGAAGAACAAGAAGAATGTAAACTATTTGTATTGCGAATTGTGGACCGAAAGGGTAAGATCAGCGCCCGGCGCGATCGCATGGAAGCAGGCAGCACTTGGTTTTTGGGGACGGGAAAGCAAAGGGGATATCGTTTTTGTGACCAAAAAATTGCAACATTTTTTGGTCACGTTTCGTTTTTGAGGGATTTACGTTTAGGGCTGAGAGTCAAAAGGGACTTCGTAAAATTTCTAAAAGTCAAGGGGGATTTCGTTTCCAAGAAGCCTAGAAACGAACTCATGCCGGGCCTTGGGTGAGCCCCTCCCTTCCCTATCCCTTCCAAAATGGTGCGAGCCTTTTTTGTCAAAGTAACACAAAATTTTTGAACTTCGTTTTCATTTGCAAATCAAATGATTCTGTCAAATAATTCAGCCACTGTCACGCTTTCTTTTTGAATCTCAGTATAATAAGTTCACAAGTAATTTGGGGACCATCCACAAATTTTCAAATCTCCAGGAAGCTTTGTTGGCTAACACCACGGCCATTTATTCGACAAATTTTAACAGCCATCCCAAAAGATTTCTAGTACGCGCCACTGCTATTGACATTATTTGCATGCTATTGTTTCTGTTTAGATAAAAATATGTCGAAGGTAGGCAAATATTATTCTCCAGGAGCAAAAATACTGGCCCGATATAGCGATTGTGAACTGATAAATATGTATTGCGGGAGCAGTTCTAGACACAGGTTCGAAATCTATCCTTCATTTGTAAAGATTTTATTATGTTAAGCCACGCTCTTTTAAGCTTTTCTCATATCCGAGATTCTCATTATAATACGAGGTTTGCATTGTTCCAAAAGTCAATTACATGTTGCTCTCAAAAGCTCAAAGGTTTTTCAAAGTAAGCCTCTTTCGAATATATTCGGGTGGTAAGTTGATTGTTGTCGGAACTAGAGCCTAAATCGTCGATTCAGCGACTTTTTGGTTCAAACTGGTTCCAGCGCGTACTGGCCACTTGAGGCTCTTCAAACTTCTTATCAAGCAGGTGATGACCTCGCAGTACGTACTCGATATCTTTTGCTTCTCTCTTAAACTGAGTAAATAAGTGGCTAGAAAGATAACTGCGAGTCATAACTGGTTGATGCACTTCCACATGTGATTAGCTCCATTTCCCAAGAACAAAGCTTCACCACCGATTTCATGTCATTTTATTTGCAGCCATTTCAAATGACAGATCTGTCATTTCACCATATGTCCGTCTCGTCTAGGCCCCTATCTCTTATCAGCTGTTTACCGGTGTAAAAACACTAGTCGTTACCTGTGTTTGAAATCAAAGTAGTCAGATGTGGTGGTTTGGCTTTCAGTGTCCTCTTTCCTTCACTTCTTTCGAAATATCGATTTGGCCTCCGACAATAGCGTAACCCACTTGACTAGTAATTGTTTGGTTAAGCAAAGTGTTTCAGTCAGGGAGGATGAGGCTGGTCTGGTTCTTGGCAGTTATAGCTGCAGTATCAGCACATAGGTAAGTTTATGATTTAACTCCTATTTTTCTCAGCCGTTTAATCCCATACTAAGAGGCTACAAGACGCTTAAAATCTTTTTTATATCTCTTCTAATCAGCCAAAATGGCACTTGAAGCCAACCTTTCCAGCCACCATCGCTATCGACAACCTGCACCCGACGGGGACGTTTATGCGCTGATTGTGGCAGGTTCCGATGGCTGGTACAATTATCGTCACCAAGTAAGGACCTTATGTCGAAGCTTTGATGACTTCTAAATTGTTTCCTTGATAGTTAATTGGCCCTCTAAAGAATAACTGGTTGCCTTTTGTTTGCTTTTGCTGAGGAAGTTGGAAAGGTCCAAACGATAAGAGATCGAGGGAAATATCTGGTGACTTAGATGTTTTCTTTCAGAGATAGCTTAAGATAACAGGACATATTAGGTTGGCACATAAGTAATGCAACTTTTTATATAACTTTTGTCTATTTGAACGTAGCGCATTCATTTTTTGGCAATATAAGGAATATGATGTAAGCTTTTAATGCACACATTTTTGCCGAATTTTACCATCTTATGTGAGGATTACGGTAGGTATACGGTACTATGAGAAAAATTTTAGAATGCATCAGATTTTGCTGAAACTTGGCCTATAGGGCTTATTTGACATGCTGATCACAAAAATGAGATCCGTTTTGCATGAAAAGGCCTCGTTCGTGAGATCAAAAGATGGATTTCATTTTAGCGACAAATGAATATGATATTCGTGTTTAGCGCATAGGATTACCCTATAGTGCAAAGCTATAGCGAATTCTGACTTTTCGCAGCTTAGTTATTGACAATTTGCCTTCAAAACTTGACGCATTTGACTTGTTCAAATTCTCAAAGGCGCCCCACCTTAATTTGTGTTTAAATTTCATTTCTTTTTCACTGATTTCAATGTGCCAACTTCCAGCTACATGCTGCCTATAACTGCTTTTTCATATGCTTGAATCAGGTTTCGTAGGGCTTCATGTTTGCCAAAAAATCGTGAAACCTCGATTTTCAGCAGTTTTCAAAAAATGCTTAGATTTTTTGTACTACGTTATCAAAAATCAAACGGTTTGCGCAGACTTGCAGCTTATATCACGATCTACATGATGCCACAAAATGAGATTGCTACATAAAATAGGAAAAAAGTTACGGGAAAAGTTGCAAAACTTATGTGCCAACTTAATATTTTCAAAATTTTCATTTGAAATTATAATCAAAACAAGGTGAAGTTTGAATTTTAACAAACCTAGCCGACTATCTGGAACGGGTATTTTACAAACATTTTTGTGGTACGATAATGTTAGGGCACCAGGTGTAAGGTTTTCTCGTTCGAATAATTCAAATTTTTTACTACTAGAATGAAAAGTTAACAATAAAATAGGTAAAATGAATGTGTTGATCAAAATGAAGTTTTAGGCGGATGCCTGTCATGCTTACCACACCCTCAAAAATCATGGTATACCAGAAGAAAATATCGTTACGATGATGTATGATGACATTGCTCACAATAAACAGTAAGTTTTGAATCTGCTAAAGCGAATATGCGTACCTGAAAATCTTGAATGGTCCAAACTGGTAATGTTGGTACGATGTGATAGCGTATAAGCTTTAATTCAGACACAAGTCTCTGAAATGATTTTCACCTCGACAAATTGATAAAAATTAGAAGATTTTTGATCTAGGTATTTCTAGAAAATTAGCTTCATACTGATCTGTGCTTTCTGCATCTCTTCAATACTATGTCAAAAATTGATATCTTCTTCTATGTACTAATTAAGACGCAGCGATTTTCGTATTTAATTCTCATCTCTAATTCAAATCATAACGCATTTGCTACACCAGTTTCCATGTAGTGAATTTTATTTGTAGTGGCCATTTCAACGTATATCCCCAAAATTTCGTAAAATAATCTAAAATAGCGTAAGATAATCGGTCAATAGATGCTCCATTTTAGGAATCCATACCCAGGCAAAATTTTCAATCGACCTCATGGTGAAGATGTGTATAAGGGAGTGAAGATCGACTACAAGGTAGAGCACGAGATAAGAAGTGACTTCAAAACAGAGGGGCAGCCAATATTTTCAGGGAGAATCAGTAACTCCGCAAAATTTCCTGAACATTTTGAAAGGAAACGCAAGCGGTGTTGTGGGAGGAAATGGACGAGTTATCGAGAGGTAAGTGTCATTATTATACTTGGAATAAAGTCTCGAGACAGTGTTTTAGCAATCCGAATGATCGTATATTCGTCTTCTTCACTGACCATGGTGGAGTTGGAACGATTGCTTTCCCGGATGAAATGGTAGACAAACTTTTTCTGGGTTCTAAGAAAAAAATAGAAGTGATTTTATTTCAGCTAACTGTCAAGGAGCTAAATGAAGCGCTGAACTGGATGCATAAGCATGATCGCTACAGTCAACTAGTTTTCTACCTCGAAGCATGCGAAAGTGGCTCGATGTTCGAAAAGACTCTGAAGAGTAACATAGATGGTAATTTCACATCATTCCCGGTTCTCTAAACCAAATTATAATCCAATTTCTTATCAGTGTATGCGGTAACGGCTGCAAATGGTCATGAGTCATCATGGGGCACATTCTGCGAGAATGATATGAAGCTGCCGTGCCTTGGAGATTTGTTTTCGGTAAACTGGATGGTAGATAGTGATGAGGTAAGAAGAAGAAGTGATACGCAATTCGTGTTTAGTGGGAGAAAAAATGCAGAATTTTTTATTCGACTAGCGCTTTCAAGAAAGTGATTTTCGCAGCAGGGAAGGGGGATTTTTGAGAGTGGTCCGCATAAACTATATCAATTGACTTTTTTGCGTATGAAATTGAGAGTGATTTTTCTTCTTGAGATTCAAATCAGACTGGCGAACTATATTTTGAAATTGTGTAAACTTCCCCTAAATACAGAACGCATTTTCAAAATCTTTCGGAAACCCCACATTAGAAAATCTCTGGAATAGTCACTGGCCAACGTTGTAACTTTCTGGTACTATTGATACCTACAACTAGAAAGCCAACCCAGACTTTTGGAACTATATTTTTGCATCCGTTGATAATAACTAAGCTCTAGACCACAAATTCGCAGGAAAATTCCGTTTTCTTAAGCCAAAAGACCGCTCAGAATTCTTTCACACGGTAATATTCCCAGCAATTAAAAGTTTTTTCGAACTGCCCCAATATAATTTAATCGTCGCAATGCTGTGTGATTGAAAGAACCTGGCAAATCTAATGGTACAAGTAACTTCAACAACCCCCAATCGCTCTATTTTTGACGGATTCCGTTGAGCTCACAGCCGAATGTGTGATGTTTTTATGATTTGATCGCGACAGCTAAAAAATGTAAGCATCGCTGTATGCTGGCAACAGGAACATTAGGCAGCCATGAAAATGGTGTTTCCGAGCTGCTGCTTCAAGCTGAACACCAAACGTGCTCGAAGGTATCAGACAGAGCAGAGCAAGCTCCGAAAAAACGTTATTCAACCTCATAAGTCGTGATCCACAAAAATTTGAACGAAAAATGCTATCAGCTCAAAATTGAAACCCTTAACAGAAAATCTTACAACTGTCAGCATTTCATATTTTAAACGCATACAAGCATATGCCCATTTGCTGTATTTTTTTTCTTGACTTGAAATTAAGAAAAGTATAATCGTTGATGGCAAACTCCGCCCTTAGCAATCACGGTTCCTGTCACGTAGAATTAATTTATACGTGGCGGTCCTAAGGAAGAGAGTGACAGGAATTTCCAAATGAAGATGCGAGACGCCAGCCGTGCACTAAAAAATTTTTACATGCTCAATTTTATAACTCCGAAATTCTCAAAAATTGGGGAGTGGCGGCATCCCGCGAAAAAAACTTTACAGGGTTAGGTCGAAATTTCTGAATTTTTCAAAAAATTATTCCAATGATTTACGAGTATAATCAAGTCACTGCTCAATTATAACTCATGTAAGTTTCAGTTCGCGACCCGAGCACCCCCCCCCCCCTTGTACGCCATAATAATACTTGAATATGATGAAACGGGTCAAACGTATTAAAATGGCAAAAACCGTCGAGACGCCCAAAAACTACCCATAAAAAAATGCTCAGCCTGGAAATCAAAGATCATTTTCAGGAAGACATCACCGTTGAGACACTTGATGATCAATACAAACTTGTCAAAAAGCAGACCAACATGTCCCATGTTATGCATTACGGAAACTTGAGCATGGGAATCGAGCCAGTTGGTTGGTTCCAAGGTGAAGATAAGATTGATAGGGAGCCCTATGTCACGAAGGTAAAAAAAATTTTCCTAAAAAGTTGCTCATGCCATATGTCGTGTTACAGAAAGACGAGAGAATTGTTTCGTGGCCATCGAGGGATGTGGAGCTACTATATCTCCACCAGATAAAGGACGAAACAAACGATATTTTCGAAGCAAAAGAATTAAGCAGAAAAATTGAGAAGATTCATGATGTACGTTCATCGCTGTCCTTCTCTGCAAAACTTGCAAAATAAGCAGTTGTTTTTCAGGATAGGCGTCACATTAAGATGTTAATACACAGTCTCTTAGATGATCTTTTGGATGATGCAGGAACACGGTGAGCTAAAGACGATCAGTATAGGCTGTTCTGCCTTCTGCACAGAATGTATTCAATGAAATAGTTCATGACTGAGTGAGAGAGCAGACGAAAAAGTGGCGAGAGTGCACGAGGAAAGAGGAGTGAAGCGGTGACAATTTAATCATTGTTTTTAGAAGACGCATGCTGGAAGAGCACAATCCCATAGAAGATGTCGATTGTCACAGTGAAGTTGTACATGTGTTCGATCTGATCTGTATTGATTTGAATAAGGTTGGTTTGATTATAACAAATTTTGGATACTAGTATTAGGTCCATGAGACTTTATAAAAAAGAAAATTGTCAAAATAAACTTTCTACAGTCAGTGTCAATACGTACTTCCTTTCACGTGGTAATTACGCATGCGCAACGCGAGGACCTTGCGTGCGGACCTGCAGTCGATGAAACCAGCTTGAATGCGCAAGCCATACGCGCGCGAACGTGGCGCGAAGCGCTGGCGTATCGATTACGCTTACGGAAAAGGAAGCACGTGATTGACACAGACTGTAGCTTATTGTAGAATTTCTGCTATATACAGTAACTGCTGTAACTTATCGAACATGTGGTAGATTCCATACATTATTCAAACTTGGATTACTAATTTTGAAAGTGATGTTTATTACTAAAACATATGACCGTAGCTAAATATCTTTAATATCTTGTAGGAAGAGTAGGAAAATCGAAACGAAGTTAAAATCGCATTTCTTGGATCTCATGGAATTTCCGAGGAATTTCCTAGGAAAAAAAGGGGCCATGAAAATTTCTCCTAGTCTTTCTTATGTCTATTGATTTCGGCTCACTGAAGAGCTGAGTTTCGAATAGTTGCAAGCAAATTAGGTAACTATTCAACTGATAAAATTCTTATTTTCAGTACGACTACGCCCTCAAGTACATGTACGTCTTAAACAACTTGTGCAGTGAAATTGGTGACGCAAAGGAGATCATCGATTCGATGTGGACTACTTGCTCAAAGACTCGTTTCCGATTCTTCTGAAGACTTTTAGTTTGATTGTTATCACTATGCCTGTACAGCCAGGATAGACCAATATCCTGCTCGTTCGTTCATTAAAACATTTATTTTTTGCGAGATTTTTGATATGCAGAATGTCATTCACACAATTATGAACTTGACAATATTACGAGTATCTAAACAAAGAGTTAAGCTCAAATACGAGGAAAAATATCGTTCAATCATACTATAAGAAGATAAACCAATTCTGTCAACCTTTTTCTTTATCGGAAACCTACAAATTACGATAAAGATTAAACGCTCATCAGCGATCAAATCGAAAGTTAGAGCTAATGTCTACAAGGAAAATTATATAGTACGTGATTACCAGCGTGTGATAGCATCAAGCTCTACTGCAATTTGGGCCATGTAAAGGGCAGTTCTACTTAGGTCAGAAACATAAAAAGGAATCTTTGGCGGATTTTCGAACGTCATAGAGGTAAGACAAATCTGATTATCGGCTAGTTAAATTATCGTAACTAAAAGTGATATGACAAACAACTGAGGACAGGAAATAGAAGTTGCTGAGATTCTTAGTTCAAGGTCTCGTTTTAAAGATCTGCGCAAGCTTACACATACATGAAACTAAAAAAATATAGTACAGACCCATCTAGACCCAACGAAAGTTAGATTTGAGACATTCCATCAAAAATAAAAGAGCAAAACAGATAAAATTCTGATACTTGTGCAAGATTCATTCGGAGAGTATAAGAGAATAACAAAGCCTAAAAACTGAAATCTGAAGACGAGGTAAACAGTAGAGACAACATACATCCTCAGTAAGACTCCTCTTTCCAAGTAATCGCCTGTTTCTCAACGAGCTTCTTGAAAATTCCCTCTTTCATGTACATAAGCTCATCGAAACTGCCATGCTCGGCAACGCTTCCTTTATCCAAGACGACGATTTGATCGGCATGTTTTATGGTGGATAACCTAGATAGTGTGGATGGCCAAGACTAAGCAAAATTTTGTAAATTACTACCTGTGCGCTATGATAAGAACTGTTTGGTGACTATTTTCAAGCAGGCGATTCAGGGCTATTCGGACTAGGTATTCAGATGTGGCATCTAACGCACTTGTTGCTTCATCAAGAATCAAGATTCGGGGATTCTGAGATAAACCATAGCATTTTATAATAATGGTAACAGTAATATACTGTAGAACTCACCGTCACGAGAGCCCGAGCGATAGCTATCCGCTGCTTTTGTCCCCCGCTTAGCATAGAGCCTTGTTCTCCGACCTAAAAAAAAGCACAGCTAAGTTACAGCAGCAAGGGCTACTGAAGAACACACCATTGTATCAAAGCCTAGCGGAAACGTTTTTATGAAACCTATCGCATTGGACTGCGTCGCTGCTTCTTCGATCTGGAATTGATCGAGTTGTAACAGCGAGATAAGCATTAATAGACAAGAAGCTATCCGATTAAGGAGAAAGTAAAAAATGTACCAGAGCGTAAAATATGAGAAAACTATAAGCTAAGCGCTATTTTATGTTTATTAAGCCAAACAAAAGATGGCAGCGAAGAGAAAAAGAGATAGAGTTAAGGACAAAGTGAACACAAAGACAGGAAAATTAACGAAAAAGACCAAAACGGACCTGAGCATCTGTAATTTTCTCCGGGTGCTCTGCACCATAAAGTATATTTTCTCGCAGTGTAGTTGAGAAAAGTATTGGCTCCTGGAGTACACACGTTTTGTTTAGACAAAGAAAGTGGTCCATTTCCAAAATTACCTGCCCTACGGTACCAATCTGCCGTCGCCAGTAAGATGGATCTACCTGCTTCAGATCTACATCATCGATCATGATACGACCTTTGATAGGATCATACAGCCTAAGATTGTCTTTTTTACATCCGCTACAGCATAACCACTGATTTCACAAACCGCAAAAGAAGATTGGCTATAGTAGACTTTCCACTGCCGGACGATCCCACAACGGCTGTGATACGCCCGGCCGGGATTTCGAACGAGATGTTGTGAAACAGCGGGTCTCTCCCTGGATATGCAAATGCCACGCGTTCAAATCTAGAGGTATTTGAAAATCGTATGATGAGCATGGTAATCATAAGAGCATACCTTATAGCTTCTTCTACGTTACCCTTCTTGATACCTCCTTCAAGAGGAATCTGAGGCTTCGTATTGCGGAGTTCAAATAATCTTGAGCTTGCGCCCAAGCCCTGAATAAACAATGGGATACAGCAAAAAGTGTATGGAAGCCGGTCAACAACGATACCTTCATGATCTCAATGAAAAACCCAGACATGCTTGACAGACTCGAAGCACAAAAGACTGCATACAAGCAAAACGACGACAGATCACCTAGAAGACAGAGAAAAACGTGGATTCACGCAAATTCCTAAAAGACTCCCTCATGTCAATGGCATACCATATGTTAGCAATCCTTGACTGATCAAGTTACTTCCATAGTATAAAACTGTCGAAAGGGCTATGTATCCAGTGAATTGAAACTGAATGGATGACTTCGCAATTTTTTATGCACATAAAAAATATGATGACTTACCGACCCATACATGGAGCCGCGAGCTAAGCCCTCTTTTCTAGATATTTGCCATATGTCAAAGATCTTCGAAGCATAGGCCGCCATTTCTTTTCGCTCAGCTACAAGCATACGAACGGTTCGAACGCTCGAGAGACGCTCCGTGGCCACCTGACAAATCACAGCTGTGCAATATCGAAAAAATCTAAGGAAAAAAAGTAGAACAAAAGTTGATTGCCAAACTCTAAGTAAATAGATTCATGAAACGAGAAAAAAGATACAAATGTTTACCTGATTGGCGCCAGCAACTGCCTCTTGCATTTGCAAAGTGTACTTCCGCTGCAGTTTTCCAAAAACTGCGAAAGTTCCTACGATTATGGGAATAACCACGACCATCACTTGACAAAGTGCCGGTGACGTATAGACCTAAACACCAGGTATCATCGAAGTCTACGAAAAAATGAGCCTTACCATAAGTCCGCCTGAACCCAGACATGTCAGTAATGCTCTAGCACCGTCACTGAGATTCATAGATACGGAATAGCCAACAATGAGAGCGTCGGTAGACAACCGAGAGACAATTTCTCCGACCTAAATAGATCTGCGACATAACGATGTCTGAGACAAAGTGTAGTATTTACCTTATTTTTATCGAAAAATGCTATGTCTTGCCGCAATACAGCGTTAAACACTTTTTTACGAAGATCATTGATGACAAGTTGACCTAAAATATAACAAACACTCCAAAATTGTTTCAAATGGAAAAGCCTTACCTGCTGTGTGCATGCAATAAACCCTGGCTGCAATCGCAGCAGCGCCCAAGAACAAAACACCAACGAGTGCGATAGGGTTGTCCTTGAAGAACCTGAGATAAACAAACTCAAATTCCCATACAACCACGCGAAAAAATTTACGGCGAGACTGAGGTACTTTGGGTTGAGAAAGGGAGTTCACAGTAAAGCCCATGGCAGATCTGCTGCTAGATCTGCACTATCACATACACAGCTATAATAGTTTGAGTCTTCCATGGGCGGTGCACATTTGATTTTGAATTTTTTGGTCTCAAAAACAGATTTAAACGGACAGACTCGAGATTTCAATCTTGGACCTCAGATACGCTGAGCGTAACAACGCGCTCTACACTGTCTAAAATGACCAGAACTCGATTTTGGATGAGAGGAGCCAGTGGCATGGCAGAAGCGGCTTATCCCAAAAGGCTTTCTGAAGTATGCGCATACTTGATCCACTTGATCCACCTCGCTATTGGTCAGCAGTGAAGACCAATAGCGAAGCGGATGTCCACTTGATCCACTTCGTTATTGCTCACTTCACTGATCTGACCAATAGCGAAGTGTGTGAAGTGGATGAGGCGTCAAACGTGTCCAAACACCTAATGCAATGGTAATTTTATAACTGTTCTCAAGACATTGACCTCTTCTAATGGCAAAAACATGTCGATATGAGCATCGCCAATGTAGAATTCGATCAGAACAGACTCAACAATAGATTTTGTCTCGGAAAACTGACACTATATCAGAGAACAAAATAAAGCAATGAATTACTCGCCTTGCCAGACGGAGGGTCAGATCTTCTTCTCCCGGTTTCGCCCTTCGTTCATCGTCAAACTCATCTATCAACTTCCCCAGCACACGCGGAGTCAGCAAGAAAACAGAACTGCTGATCCCAAGAAAAGACAGTCCCACTGGAAAGGATGACTAACGCATGAAATTCGAATATTCACTGCCTAAATTCACCCACACATGATTCGCCATTTGTAAGGTCCTGCAAGAGCAAAGATCGCCTTGAGATCCTTCCATGAAGCGTTTTTTAATTTAACGGAGGCCCGTTTCGTCTCAACAGTGACTACCTAAAAATCGATAAACCGCTAAAACTCAACATGTCGGAAGAGGAAGGTATTTACGTTTCTTCTGAGTGTATTCCATAGCGCCACACGCGGCAGCCGCAAAATGCTTTTGCTTTGAGGTAAAGAAGGTCTTGTAATTGTACAAAATAATCTGTAACACATCAGAAATAGTCATACTACTCAAGTAAAAAGAGAATGAAAACATACCGACTAGAACTAGAGGGAAATGAAAAACAACGAGCGCAGACAACTCGCCGTACCAGCAAAGAACCGAACATCACTAAAGTCTGAAACACTTGGATTTGGATGAATACCGAATTTGGAAGGCTAATGTGACGTACTCAGAACAAATTCCAACTTTGGCATAGAATGGAGTGCTTGAAGTGAAACAAGAAGAAAAATTTGAAGAATTTTGCATCAAACCGGATTTGAAATACTGTAGGCCGAAAAAACCGCGATGGAAGACCGCTTCGGGCGGTTCCGCAGCGATCGTTGCTCTGGACCATTGGAGCTCCAAAATTTTCGGCTTTCATGAACTGACTTGTTTTCTCTTGGAATTTCTTTGTCGTTTCTATCTCTTGGGGCTTTTATTTTTTCTAGCAAATCCTCTGGGTCCTTTCGCTCACCATATCGTAGATTTCTTCAGATTGAGAACGTTAGACGGATTCCTGTTTGTTTGATTATTCCCATTAGTATATCTTTCCCACTTGTTTTTTTTTTGTCCTGAGACAGCGGTTCACTGAATTTTTTGCATTTGGATCCCGCAGTGTTTTTTCTGTTCCTTTGGTACCCTCTACCCTTGCCATTTTGCCGCTTAGATCAAAACGTTCCAAGCTTTTTTGCCAAGATGTGTGCTTTTCCTTTTCTGCTTTTTTCTTGGTAGTATAGATCACATAAACATGACTATGAATGAAGACCTTGATCTCGCAAATTCTATTGATCTCTTCTGCGTCATCGGGGTGTGCAGTTCCCTCTGCAATCGACATCTCTATCAGTCTTACTCATTTCAACAGATACTTTTTATTCTGCGCGCTGTGGAACGGAGACGTCTACATTTTGATTTATGCACTGATTCATCATCATTTCTCAAGTGCGATCTCTCGTCGTTGTGGTCCTTCGATTTTCGATTCCTTCCTTGATTATGGTCCTCACATAGGTTTCTCAACATCTTTCTCCATATCAGCTTTCTGTCATTTCTGCCAGTATTACTATTCCGTAAAAGTCATCTAATAACAAAATTTTTCCCTTTCTTATCCTGATCTGTATGAACCTGCCTCAGCAATGGAATACTGTTGAACTCCGCAACTTTGAACAACTCTCATAGTCGTAGGATCCAGCTGTTCTGTTATTGCACCACATGCCTTGAATCATGATTAGCGCCATACTTGATCCACTCTCTTCGCTCGATCCACTTCGCTATTGGTCAGATCACTGAACTAACCAATAGCGAAGTGGATGAAGCGGATCGAGTGGATCAAGTAAGGCATGTGCCTGTGAATCTGATCTCTGTTCAATCGGCCCTTCAGTTAACCTAAAGGTTCAAGCTAAAGTTTTTAACCCATTGACGACGACGCCTAATTTTGCGCGGCGGCGCTGTGGGACGACGCGATTCCGCACAACACTTTCAGTGTGGGAAGGTTTCGTGATTATTCACGAAATGCAACATTGTTTTGTAAACAACTATTAACATTTCCTTGAACGACAGAGCCTATAGGTCCTAAGAATACAAAAAATTGGAAAAAATACTCATATGTGGAAGAAATACTAGACCTGCAGATAATACGACTTTGCGAGAGGTTTGGGCCACCGGGGGTCCACATCGTCCCTGGCAGCAAAAAGCGCGTAGGCCACCGGTGGTCCACATCGTCAATGGGTTAAAGAGCATTTCCTTTGATTTTTACACATGCTGCAAACATCTTCTCTTTGTTCAGCCGTGTTTCATTTTTTCCTATACTTTTTGTAATTGCGTGGAATGGGGAACTATCGGTTTACGCAACAGTCATACAGCACTTCACACTTTTTTTATTCCCGAACGATTGCTTCGCTAAGAAATCCGGTTTTGCTGCTGACCGCACTTGAATATGAATGGGATGACTTTCACGCGTTTTCATCGTAGCATGTGTCATAACAATGCATTGGGGTAATTTAATTGCAATACTTATCGTTTTTCTAGTCGAAGATATGATCTGATGGACCATACCTACGACTAGAGAAGTATCTGATTATTAGTAAATTAGCTGGCTTACCCGGCTCCGCCGTATGTTCCGAATAGAAAATTCCATTTCTTAACCGATCCGGACCAAACTTGGCACACATACACTTCGGGCCCCGGCGGGTGCCACAGTCCACTTTTCGTTATCGATCGATGTCGATTTTATCGATTTTTTGCAAAATTTGAGCTAGGGGGCTGGAATTTGGCAGGGGGTGTAATCGAGCATGCTGATCACCCCCACGGGGGTGATCAGCATGCTCGATTACTTCCCTGTGGCAACTCCCAGCCCTGTAGCTCAAATTTTGCAAAAAATCGATAAAATCGATATCGATCGATGACGAAAAGTAGCCTATGACACCCGCCAGGGCCCGAAGTGTATGTGTGCTAAGTTTGGTCCCGATCGGTTCAGAAATGGAATTTTCTATTCGGAACATACGTACAGACAGACATACAGACAGACAAACAGACATTCAGCTTTATATATAAGATGCTAGGCAACATAGGGCGTTTGTAGTTGGAAAAATTAAAGCAACTTGCCTCGTTAGTTGAGGATAAAAATGGTACAGTAAAGGAAAAGTCGCTGTCGCAGCTCAGAAGAAAGTTTCATATCCTGAAGCTCAGATATCTTTCCACGCTGTCCCTATTCGTAAGTGTTCCCACCATCCTTCACTATGAATATACTGAGCATGAGCAAGAAGCTGTACAAGCCGCGTTTTCCACATTTTTGTATGATTCCCTGATGATCCCCAGCTGCCGACCGCTTTTTCTTAAAAGCCATTTTTTTTCGAAGACAATAAGAACATTTCAAAGTTGCACCGACTATCTTACCCAACAGCGATAGTCATGTTTCCGGTAAGAACAAGTGATGCTTCGAAGTCATGGAATGTGCGAACAACGAATGTTGGGGTTTACCGAAAAAATCGATATTTCAAAAACTTCTTAGCACTGTGGGTTAGATAATCAGTACAACTTTAGAAGGCTTTCGTTGACTTCGTAGGAAGAAAAATGACTTTGAAGAAAAGATGTTGGCCGCGAGGGATTCAACATAAAAAGCTGGAAAATGCGGCCTGTAAGCTTCTTGCTCCCGCTCGATATGTTCATAGCAGTGGCGGTCGCAGGATTTCGGACCGGGGGAGGGGGGCGCGAAAAATTTTTTTTTCAAATGAAGGTGCGTGGCTTTAGCCACGCACTCCGAAAAAATTTTGGGGGTACTTCTCAAAGTTTTTGCGGGTCCCTAACCCCTAAAATCTGGAAAAAGGGGCGTGGCCTCAGCCACGCCCCCGAAAATTTTTTTTAATAAGACTAATTTGAATTTTAAAAAAATTTTAAAAAGTATTTTAATTATTTACAAAAATAAACAAGTTGTTTGCACACTTTAACCCATATAGGTAAGTTCAAAAATTTCGCGACCCATTCTCGGCTCCCCCCCCCCTCCCTCGGACCGCCACTGGTTCATAGTGAAGGATGGTGGGAATGTTTACGGATAGGTGATCAGTGACATAGACAGTGTGATCCACATATCTGAAGCTTCAGGATATGAAGCGTTCTTTGAAGCTGCGATTTCCTCCTCAACGGGGGTGTTAGTGCAGCGGCCCTGACTGAAGGAACAATGGGGAGTTCCTCAATGCTTGGATAAGATATGCTTGCTCACTCTTTGAACCTCTATTTGTCACGTGTTAAAGCGGACGAATGATCTTTCCATAATGGTTGCCGTTGTGGACAGCTTGTTACGCCTACGCATCTATGCTTTACAGTCGAGTAGATTTTCCGCTTCATATAGTGTGATTGCACAGAAGGTGAAATGCGGTAAAGTTTGCTCGTGAGGAAATAGCATCGACCGTGGCGCCGGTCAAATGCAAGCGCAAAATGCCGGCAGTACTGGCGCAACTACCTGTTCACGCACAAATTTTACCGCATCCCATGAACTGTGCAAGCACACTATATTAAGCGGAAAATCTACTCGACTGTACGTATCTGTATAACGATTACGCCGGCAAAGTGATGAGCATTTATTTCGATTTAAGTAACAGCGGTGTGCATACTGTCAGAAGGAAGTCGTCATTGCTTCTGCTCTTTTCTGGCTAGCTCGAATTCGTACTTTAAGCGTTTTAAATAACTTTGACTTTCATTTGTCAATCGCATAGCTGTTCTCGGTCTTTTCTTGATGGCTTTCACCCGCTCATCGTTTTTAAAGGCAGTGGATCGGCAAAATGGGTGCTAGTCAGATTTTGGTAGCGTTGTAGATCCCCAAGTACACCATAGCCCTACCCCCACCTTCCAATTCATGCGCTGAGTCCAAAAAATGCGCTCCAGAACTCCACCAGCTCCGCCCAGTTACATTAAGTAGGCGTCATTGAGTTTTTTGGCTGCTCTCTTTGACAAGCATTCTCTCTAGCTCATCTGATATAATTTTTTTTGCTTTGTAATTTCTTGAACTTGCACATTGGAGGAGGTTGCTATCGCAACGATATGTTCAACTTTTTCTTTGGCAAACGGGATGTCAGCTCTGCGCACAGTTGATGTTTAGTGTCGTACTGATTTGTGACAGGCACACTACAATGCACTGGAAAGTCATGAAAAATCCGTTTCACTCCGGTTTTCTGTGTTTCGATCTTCTGATCGTGTGAATCTTCTTGGAATAAGCTTCTTAGGGTTTTTTGATAGATTTGCATGCACGCGCTTGCTTCTAGAGAAAATCTAAATTCCCATCGATTTGGCATTGGACTTCTCTTTTCTGCGGTGGAAACGTTTTGCACTTTTCCTTTGCCTACGTCTTTTCCATAAGCATGTGGAACTCTCTGCAATTTACAACTTCTCCTGTCATGTCATTTTATCAGCAAGTACGAAAATGAGTCTTTGACTTATTATCGACTTGATCTCAGTTCTTCTGCTTGTAAATAGGGAATGAGCTTCGTTCTCAATTCATCGGTATTAAATCCTTCTTCAAAGCACTTTTCTTGAAGTTTGGCAACAGCTCATGACTTTTTTGTGCTGTAATTCGAATAATGGTGAATTACCTTCATAATTTTTTTTCATGCATTCTCCTCTTTCCCCCTTTCTTCCGTTCACCGCTACTGTCGTAATAAGCAATATGGTGGGTTTAAAGCAGCGCCCAGAGTTGCTCATCCGGCTTTGCCAGCGAAATGCCGAAACATCGAACGATCGATACGAGGGGTATGCACGTAGGATCCGGCACGGTGCTGG